GGATTAGTATCGAAAAATCGTAATGTTAACCATTTGAGAATGAGATCCAAATTAGACACCAATGCTTTGTTATTCCCAGACAGATCCTGATAAAAATACAAATGAAATTAAAAATCGTGTTATATGTCAAATATGTACATTTTTCAAATATATATGTTTATCTCGCAAAATATAACTAGCTTCCAAAATTTTATATAAAATTTTTAAAAGTCACAATTGCATAAAGAGATTATATTTATTCTATTTTTATATAATATAAATATTTAAATTAAATAACTAAATAAAATTGATGTAGATTACTGAATATTAAAATTTCTTGTTTCTCCTGTATACACATATTGATCCAAGTATATATATTTACCTCAGTAAGTGCTTCAATAGCCTTTAAATGATAACGGAAATCAGAATGAAACATATTTGCTCTCAAAGTCTTGTTGACATTTGCCGCAGTCATAAGATCCTTCAGAAGCTCGACGAATTCTTCTCTGGGAGTGGTAAAGTTCCACTTAAGTACCTTCAACTTTTGCTCGTCGATTACACGTTGATGCTTCAAATTATTGACCACCAGCAGAGGACTGGTATCTACATCGTCATCTTTCTTACGAGCACTGCCTGGTTTTGATGATGCGCCCTTCTAGAATAATAAACGAATAACGTTAAGACAAAAAAAATGTTTTTATAAAAAATAGTAGAATTAAATTTAGAAAAATAATTAATTAGATAAAAAATGTGTAATATAATCGAATTTAAGTTTTATTTATAAATTTATTATCTGAATTATATATGACTCAGATATGTGTTATCTGATTGTATATGTCAAGATTTCGTTACCGATTTAACCACTTTCGTAACTTTTGCACCCTTTGCGCCACCCTTCTGAATATTGTCATCCGAAAGTTCTTTCTTGGGCAGAGGCTTTATAGGTAAACTGGGACGAGCTTTGTCCAATGCAGCAATGACCACCGTCCGTGATCCTGGCTATAAAAAATATAATTGTATTATTATTATAAGTGTAATATATTTATCAAATCATTAGATAAGCAAAATTATCACTTTATAAATTTAAAATATTTTTTTAATATAAATCATTAAAATATATATTATATATAAAATTCTCACAAATTATTGCTTGCATATATATACATATATATATATATACACAATTAGTCGAAGAGTCGAAAGAGATTGTTACAAATTTTCAATTTTTGACATATTTTTATAATTAACTTTAAAATGCAGATTTATCATATCACATTTATTTAAAATTAGAAAGAAATATATATAATATTATATAGTGTGTATGTATATATATATATATAGATATATTATATAAAGTTTAAATACATATATCTATTGTGTATGTTTTTCAAAATTTAATTTCTAAAACTTTCACTTTATAATTTAAAAGAACTATTACTCTCTCTGAAAACATTTTTTAAATAAAAGAACATCTACACTATGTTAAAAAAATAAAATCTATTACACAGAAAGCATCCTGTAACTCATATAAATACCTTTAGTTTTTCGGTATTTCTCGCCATAGCCTCGTAAGAGAGATGAATCATAAATCCGAGAACAGCTTCCTGAGCGTTCTTTCGTACGTCCGAATTACGATCTTCCAGATTAGCATACAAGTAGGGAAGGCATACGTAAAGTTCTTCTTTAGAGATCTGTTTCACCGGTATCGAGGGTAATTTCTGCGCCAGCCAGTTCCACAGCTCGGCTCGCAACATCGGTGAACCTGCTTTCAGAGCATCCCCTATCATCTCACCATCGAAGAACTCTTTATAACCACACTGATCGCCCCATGTGTTGATGCAAGTGATTGCAGCCGTTCTGATCCAATTTTTGCTATCGCCTAAACACTGCAGAAACCCGGGAAACAAAGTGCGAATGTGCTGTTTCACTGGGGATCCAATAGCTGTCGCCAACATCTCACATATACCTAAAAACATATTTAAAGATATCTTATCGAATTATTAACCATTGAACAATAACTCTAACAAAAAGTAATGATTAATTTATATACATAATAACGATTTTTACTAAATTATATTAACAAGAATCTAAAAAGTTTTAATATAATCCAGAATTAGAATAATAGTTCATAAAATCAATTTATTATTAGTAATTGATCTCACTAATGATTAATAATTATTTTAATTACTTAGATTATTGATTATATGCAGTCGATAAATATAAAATATATAGTATACAATATATATGTAATATTAAATATATTTAATGTGTGATCTGTTAATATTTTTTAATAAATTATATATTAAATATATTTAATGTATAATATTAATTAAATATTTACATATATAATAAAATAATCATATTACTCATTGTCAGTTAATAAAATAAATCGCAAAATAAATACCAACCTAGAGCTGCTTGCGCAATTTTACTATTGCTGTCCACGAGACGCAGAGCTAATCCTTGTGGCAAATCGCCGATAGAAGGTTTGATAAACTTGGTTTCGCTGAGAAGAGTATTCACCTTCTGCAGCGTCTCGTTACGCACTTTCCAATTCTTGTCAGCCAATTCGGCTAACAGCGCTTCGGTGATCTGAGCGCTAATGTCGACGCGCGGGATCAGTTCGTTAAGATCTGGCTCGCTGCCGCTTACTCTCTTCTCTGACAACGACTCATCTGCGTCCTCGTCCTCTTCTTCGGCGGTGGCGGCGTTTGTCTTCTTAGCCTTGGCGCCGCGAACGGGCGTCGGCGGAGTTTCGCCGTTACGCCTCTCGCACTCTTGCTCGATCTGCTGTCGCAGCGCGGGTTTTTCGTTGTCGAAGAACTCTAACAGCGGTTTGCCTATATAGAGATATAAAGTGCCTAGCAGTGTAATCGCGGCGGTGCGCACACTGGGATTTGTCACCGCTACTGCCTTCTTGATATTCTCGATAATGGACTTAACGTTGAGACTACAACCTGCGGGAGACATATATCATTAGATCACCGCCCTAATAAAACTTTGACATTTTGTTTACTTTATATTTTTCACTTTAATGCAATATATGAAAAAAAAATTAATATAGCTTGGACGCTTTTGATTTATAAAAATTATAATAGATGAAAATAAAATATAAATTATTTTTGTCATTTGTTTTCCCTTTAACTGTATTATGCAATATTGAAGAAAATCATCAGAGCATCTACTTTATATCCCTGCCTCTAAATTAAACCAAACATTACGAACCAAATTCCGTGAGTCCACGGCACAACCATAGTAGTGTCTCCTGCTGCACCTTCGGGTTTTCTGATTAAACGCGAACGCCACTATTTCATCCGCTACATACTCGAAGCTCGTAGCTTCGGCGATTGCTAACAAAGTCTCGATAGCGATCGAACTGTTCTTCGCATCCGCCAATTTCTCCGCGATATCCATAAGACAGTATTCGGCAACGGTGGCCGTAAAAGGATGATTCTCGGCCAGGAACTTGACAGTTTCCACGCGCAACTTCAGCACCTGAAAATAGAAATAGATTTAAATATAATAAATTATAATAAATTTTATCATTAATATTAGACTCTATAAATCAAACATCAAATGGCACCCTTACTTGGAAATTCGTGTCCTTAAATCCAGGCTTCTTCGCGAGAGTGCGCACAATCACCTGGGCTGGCACTTTTGGCACTTTTGGCGAGTCCCAAGTCTTGACAACGTCCAATAGCTGTGTGACTGCGGCAAGACGCGTTTTCCAGTTAGTGAGGTCTACAAGACCAGTCATCACTTCTGCTGACAGAACCTGGGCTGCCAAATCATCGATCTCCTCCGGGCTATAATTTCTTTCTATCTGAACCGTCCTCTTCGTGGATGATGGCAGATTTGTGAGCGACGAGGCGCCACCGGGTTTCTTGGCCGTCGACTTCTTTGTAATCGCCGTATTCGGCCTTCTCGCGGTACTCGGTTTAGCGTTCTTCGAATTGTCCTTGCTCGCTTTGCTCGCCTGTTGCGATTCCACTTTGGCCGGAGCAGTGTTGGGTCGTTCCTGTCGCTTCGTACTGCTCACTTTTACTGTTATCACCGCCTTGTCGGCGCACTCCTTAATCTTTGTCATCTTTAGATTATCGATGTCCGTGAGGAACGGCATCATTCCCTTCTCGCCTATCAGTTTCATCGCCGTGCCGAGCGCTTCCGCCGAATTGTCGCGCACCGTTGGATCCGGTTCATTTAGCGTTTTCAACAACGCACTGGTGTACGACTTTAGTAACTTTTTATTAAGATTGGTCGGCGGCGTGCGCGCAAAACATCGAGCCAGAAAAGCAGCGGTCTCGGCTTTCACAGCCGGATTCTTATTTTCCAAGGCGGCCAGAGTATCCTCGAGGATAAAATCAATAGTGATGCTGTCGTAAATGGCGTCGGCGAGCTCCCGCAAAGTCTGTACCACTGTTTGCTTCTTCTCGCGGAATTTTTCCAATACGGTGGGTAGACAAGCGGTGGCGTACGGTTGAAATCGTTTCTTCAAGCCCGTAGCCAGACAGGCTAGGCACTTTGCCGCTAGCGTGACCACCACTACGTTACTGTCCTTCGAGATAATCTTCTTCAAGACCCTGACAACATCGCCGTAATCACCGTTCTCTAGTTTCGGATTTTTGACGAGTGTTTCGAGCGCCTCCAACGCTTCTTTTCGTTCCTGCCATTTCTTTGCCTCGACTTTTTCGTAAAAGTCCTTCGGTAACTTCGATAGAATATCCACAGGCGCCAAGAGATCGTAAGGATCTATATCTGGGATAGAAGCACCATCCACGTCTTCGTTGTCATCGTCGCCGTTATTATCGCTCCCTGCCAACTCACCATTGTTGCTCATATTCTTTGGTTTCTGCGAGCGTAGGTAACGCGTGGGCGTCACTTTCTCGTCATTAAGATTACTAAACTCAGCCTCGAGCTCCGTAATGTGCACTGGCTTTAATGTATTCAATTGTTGCTTCAAACGTTCGCCCACCCATCGATACATCTCTACCACCATAGCCTTGCCCTCTTCTCGCACCGTCTTGTCCCTATCCTCAAGGAAATTTGCAATTTTCTTCATTAGTGGTTTCAAATTGATCACTTTTGGTCCAAATTCCTTGAGCGCCAGCGTCAAGGTAGCGATGCACGCTGAAACGATTTTCGGATTTTTCGCATCGGTGCCCTTCAACAGTTCCTCCTGCACCGCATCATATTTCTCGATCTCGATAAACATCAGCGTGATCTGCACGGCCAGTTCCTTTGTTTTAGCCTTAGGTGCGGCAATGCACTTGGACACGATGCCATTCATTACCTCGGCGACTATCTTGCCGGCTACCGCAGCGTTTTCCACGAAAGCCAGGCTCGCCTCCAAGCCCTTCTCCTGTGCAGCTGCGTTGCTGTCCGCAACGAACTTCTTGATGAAACCCATATACTTATTCCATTCTGGTGACTTTTCATCATCGATGCACTGGAATGTCTTCACGCATTCCTCGTATCCATGCAAACGTGCTCGCCAAGACTACACATAATACAGAATATTATTTATTTAATCTGTATTTAATATTACCTATATCATATATGTATACAATCTATATATATATATATATCATTTATTAGTTTTTCTTGAAATTTTTTTGTACGATGTAACAAATGTGCACTACAATGTGACATTACTTGAAAATAAAAGTAGCATGCTCAATAAATTTATAAATGTATCTATTTATATGAACTAAATAATTGCCACAGACATATTGATAAAAATAAAACTTGTTCAGATTTAAAAGAAACAAATACCATAAATATTTCAAGATAAAATACCATTATATATATATACCTTGTGTGCAAGACGCTCCTCCAGAGGCAATTTCATATACTCAGTGTCTTCCATGATTGATCAACCTGCCTAGAAGAATGACTCATTTAGGACATTCCTTTTCGTCATGGGATAATGTAAATAAGATTGAATTAATGACAAAAAAGTACATGTACATACAAAATTATTATTATATGGACGAAGCAAATAAAAATAGATATATAACGCACAACTTTGTAACAAATATAAGTCATTTAACATTTACTTAATAATCAGAGAATTCTCAATAAAACGATATATTCAATTAATTCAATTCATCTTCCCTAACAAAATCTTGTCAATAACATTAATTTCAACAACGATATGATAGAAATAATTATCAAAACATAGCTCTAGATTGTTAAACGCAAGTGTAACAATATCGGAACTGTTACAATTGTTTTCTCTCCGATGACTTCAACTATATAACACTAATGTTTGTAGAATATAATTTATACAGTGCAAAAAACAATAATCGAAGGATCTATGAATAAAAAGGTATGCCACACGAAGACTCAAAAAGGATCAACATCGTGATCGGAAGAGCGGTTTCTCAACGTACCTGACGCAAGATGATGGATGCGAGAGTCCGACACGGTCGGCGTATTATTTAATCGCTGATTGCGAGTCGCAGCGTCGAAACGCGCGCTAAAACAGTAAAATGCACACGAAACGCGAGCGTGCCGCTGGCGAATTCGCTCTCTCACGACCTTCTGGCGGCCATTAAATCTGTTACATACATCGAATTTTCAAATGGACATACATGTCCCTAACTGTCAAGATGAGGGACGCAAACAAAAAGATGAGTATATATATATATATATAGATACATATCTAGAACGGCGAAACGGCCCTTCGGAGAACCGTTCGATTTTCGAGTAGTTTGACGTCGCGACAGTAGATGGCGACGAGTGCACCTGCACCCCGTTTTTGCATATAAATACATATATGCACTTGATTCTTTTTTTCCTGTCATCCTTTTTCAAAATTCAATATATATGCATATATTTTTAAAACTAAAAATGCAGCTAAATTACTTAGAAAAATAAAGAATAATTAAACCTTTTGTTTGCGAAGCGTACATTTAAAAAAATGAGAAAGGTGAAGGATGAATTTGATTGGTTTCGCCATGTTGTGATGCACATATGTAGGTGTCAGCAATATGGCGTGTTTTATACTTTTGTCCATCTAGTAACTTTACAATATATGATTAAGTAAGCCTACAATCTGATATAATGAAAATAATAAAATATAACGGCTCTAATAAGTATCAAGCTATGATATATTACGTATATATGTCAATATAGATAATAAAAATAGCTAATAAGAGCCAAACACTGAATAAAGATGTGAGGTACGTAAAATATATATATATATATATATATATATATATATATATATATATAATTTATTAGTTTAATTTATTTTTAAAATTATTTATTAATTTATTAATTTAATTAATATATCTTTAAAGAATATTAAGAGAAAAAAGTTTAAATCTTCATAATACTGAACATTTTAGATCATATATATATATCAAATCGTTTCTATTATATATTTATATTATTGATGCAACGTCAAATTTTTCTGTTCAAAAATCTGAGATCCCATATATATATAATGTGCATATGATATTTAAAAAAATATATGTATCATGCAATTTGCATGATACACACATTTTTTAAAATGTATGTATATATGTAAAACATTATATTTGAACTCTATTGTTATAACTGATATTTTATACTACATTGTTATAACTGATATTTTATACTACATTGTTATTACTTATATTTTATACTACATTGTCATTATATATATATAATTTACAAAACCAATAACATATGCATATAAAATTACAAAGTTCATCTCTGAATTTGTCTATTATTAATTAGAAATTGATTTCTTCAAACAATTAGACCCAAATTTGTCCAGTGTTATTTTTTTATTATATTTTTCCTCTATTATCAGTATTACAAACTTAATTGAATAATGTGCCATATTTAGATTCTGCTTACAATTATAAGATATAAATTATTTCATGTAATTAACATTCTATGATTATTCTGAATCGCTTACACATAAAAGAATTATGCATTAAAAAGTTGAACAAATAAAGTATATAAATTATCTAATTAAAAAATTTGTATTTTATATACACAAAAAAATAATTATAATAATTAAGATATAAATTCTAAATTCTCATTACAATGCATACATTATTCTAATTTGTATATTTAATTTAACGGCATATAATGATAAAAGATAGCTTTATAAATATACACATTCTACTCTTTTTAAATTCATTCAATACAAAATTTGAAAGGTTTTTTATTGTTGCTAAAAAGAAGAGCCACCGTCACATTGATATATTTTTTGAAAAGTTTATTTATCCCTAAGAGATATACAAAACAAACATTTTCTTCTCAGTGTGTAACTATCATAATTCCCCTAGTAGTTATAACACAGGAAATTCATGTCATGATTCTTTCGAATATATTCCGTTTCTTTTTTTCTTTTTCCCTTTTTTTTTTTATTTAATTGTCTCTCCATCAAACAGATACCGTGTCTCACACAATATCAGTATCAGTTACAATTCGCTCTTAATTTTTCATAACCAGCTATATGTTAAAATTATGCATATCTGCAAATCAGTATTAAAATATTACAATTTGATATTTTACAATCGTTTGTTATTCGCGTCTTCTAACTCCCTCTAGAAAACAGGTTCCTTTTCATTCGTTCTGCTCATCCTGATAAATTGTTAGAATAATTTTTTTACGTCGATAATGTGAGACAATGTTCTCTGGGAAGGGGTAACGGGAGGCGGGGAAGAGAGATTTAACGATTTGAAAGAAGTGACTGTAATTTCAGATCGCTGCGAACCAAATGTTAAGGTGCAAATCCGATCATAAAATCTCTTAAATTTATATAAATATACGAGATAAAGAAATATATATACGCATATATACATATATATAACATATATAATAATATATATCAATTTATATACTTATACTTTTATATAATTATATATTTTTAAATTATAATATATATTATATATTTTTATATATATATGTATACATATATTCATCTCGCTAATCATTAATGATGACGACAACGAAGAAACAATATTAAGATCCTAACTTTTCTTTTTCTGTCTTTCCTTTTACTTCATATTTACTATTCGGCTCCTCTCAGTCCCCTCTCTATTCCCGAATGCAATTAGAATCACTGTACACGCTATATAGGATTTAGGAATGTTAATATTACAAGAAACCACAATAATTTATTATAATACAGCCTGCTGTACACCAGATGACTCAAGGCAGTACAAGACAGAGAAAAACGCCCTTCACGGGGAGCTTATCTTCTATATTAATTCAACTCCCAGAAACATGGCTCAACGAAGCGAACAATGATCATTATATTTATCATTTACGTGAGTTTCGAGACGGTAAGATTTCAATGTATTTCTCTTTTACTACTTTTATTTCCTTCAATGCGAGTTAAAAACGAATGTGAGAGGGAGAATGGCAAGGGGCAGGGACCACTTATTCATGATGGGATAAAAAAAAAAGAGAGAAAGAAAGAGTCGAATAGAGAAAGGAAATATAAAATGTCATTCATTTTCGCAGTGTTAAAATGACCCAAAAAAAAAGAGAATAAAGAATCAAAAACGTGCTGGTATCGTCGAAGTCAGATTAAGATTTAATAAACAAATATCTTGCGCAAACATTGCATTAAAACCGAAACGTATCGCATTATTAGTGTCGCGTTGCGATCGATTTGTCGAATAACGAGAAAAAATATATTCGTGGCTGGAGTAACGAGCTGCCGGCAGCCCGAACTCGAAAACAGCACTAATGGTGTATATGTATATGTATATGTATGTGTATATATATATATATATATATACACGATAAAATGGAATTTCTTTTTTAAATTTCGCGATTACAATGATCGTCGTTTTGATAAATAAGGACTCGGCGATACCGCTGCTCCATGACGCTGGGATATCGTGCTACTAATTTTGATTTAATATTAGGCCCTTTGCATATGAAATGTCAGTTTTATATCAACAATTCTCCGATCATTTCTAATGAGAAACATAAATATATACAAATATATGTAAAGAATGAAAAAATGTATTCCTTTGTATTCCTTTTATGTGAATATGCACTTTAAGAGTAAATTAAAAAATCATACATTAAATAGAGAATAAAGAAGATAATAATCTTATTTTATATTCGTTTTGTCACTATTACGGTGATTCTTTCTAGATGGAATTTATAAATTGTGACTATAATTATCCTTATAATTAATTTTTCTTCTTATTTTACCAAGAGAATATACTCAGGCCTTATTAGGACCTGTATATAAATCGATAATCGATTCACGCGCATAATACACTCAGCGATGTTGATTAATCAAATCCCAATTCTATTTCGCGTCGAGCGAGAATGCAATCGAGAAAGTATCGCACGATAATTTTTTTCAAAGACAAATGATACGTGTACAATACAACCCCTCTAAGATGATCTTTCACATTAATATTGTGTCTCATAAGGGCAGAGATGCGCAACTGTATTTAATTTGCAAGTGTATATATAATTTAACAGTTTCATATACACAACTGCGTTCATATAATTAGACATTCTTGCGTTGTCGTAGGAATATCCTATAACTATTCTTTGTTAAGAATTTTTCGTTCTTTCAAACCAAAAGTGAAGGAGGAGTTCTACTGTAGTAATAAATTACTTATCATTTGTCTATTATATAATAACAATGATCATAATAGAGAATTAATAATTAATGGTAATATTATATTAATATTATTAATGTCACGTCCGACTTTAAAATAAGAAGTTAATATATTATACTAAATTTTTCTCATAAATTTACCGTAATGTATAGGAAAGAGCAACTGTTTCACAAGAACTGCAATATACTTTAAAAGAATTATTTCAACATGATACACTGATGATTGTATAACTATTAAAAGACATTCGAAAAAGCGACATCTCATATGCACCGGTCTAATAGAAGCTGCGAGCTACATACACACGCATTTCACTCTCTCTCTCTCTCTTTCCCTCTTGCATACAATTTTTTCTTTCGATTCAATTCACCATAACATCGAGCTTATTAGCTACGTAAGGCTCAATCACGTGATGATTCGTAGTTTTTAATACCGCCGCGTAGTTTTTTTTGAAAAAAAAAAAAAAAATACATCGCACACACTAAAAAAAAAAAGACATAGAGAGTCGCCGGAGAATTCAAGTCTGTGTTAAGATACACATATATACTTAATTCTAAATATTACTTACAACTATTACAAGAGACATGATTGTGTGTTCCTCTCAATCAAATTAATTATATATATTCGCGCAAATATGCATAAAGCGGCCCCATGCCCCAACACGCGCGCTCATTAACATGATCCTTCCGTTAAAAATTATACGGAAAAAAAAGAACAAAGCTTTTTCTGTACAAGGATATACAACAATGATCTGTTTATGTTTGTTTCATCTCACAACGATTGTGTTTCTTTTATGTCACGCTGGCGACGAATGAACTGAACTGAACTGAACTGAACTTAAAATCCCCCAAAAAAGTATAATATTAATTTCGCAACGACGCGACCGTGACTCGTCTCCTCCTTTTTCTAAGAACAAGGATCCGAGAGAGTGACTTCGTTGTACCACTCGCGCAAATTGCAAATCATGCGAAAAAAAACGAAAGAACGATATTTTTCGCGTGTCGAAATCTCGAAAATTCGCAAAAATATACGAGATAACAATCGTCTCCGATCCTCGGCTATAGGAGCCCCGTCATTATCGCGGCGT